ATACAGCAGAATCAAAGCCTAAGGGGTGTGATGTAATCCAGACATACCTCAGGTCCCCCCCATGCCCCAATCCACTGTTTACACAAACCTCCATCAATAACTGAAGCTAAGAGGCAGGATTTCCCATTTCCTAAAGGAATGGTTTTCATTAACCACAGACATGTCAGGGAGACAGTGAGCCAGGGATACTCTTTCAAACTGTGGGCTTCACCCCATCCATTCTTCATCCAGTCATCCAGCTCCAATGACCCCATAAAACAAAATCTAATCCAGAATGAAATATCTCATCTTCTGGATATGGGAGTGATAGGGAGTGTCCCCACAGAGGAAAGATTCTCCAAGTTCTTCTCCATCTTCTTTATTGTACAGAAGTGCATGGGGAGGCAGGGGGATGAGGTATCACAGCCAGTCTTAACCTCAAAAGGCGCAACAGGTGGATAAAGAAAATGAAGTTTTGGGTGGAGACCCTGGCCTCTGTGGTGTCATCCCTACCCCAGGAGGACTTCTTGTCTTCAGTAGGTCTAGCGAATGCATATCTCCATATCCCCATCAGTCTGTGCCACTTCAGACTTCCGAGATTCATCTATGTAGGAAACATTTATCAGTACTAAACTCTCCTGTTCAGCATGACGTTGGCCTCAAGGGTTTTTATAGAGATGGTGGTGGTAATAATAGCTATACTCAGGTCACAGGAAATTCACCTGTACCTTCCTGGATGACATTTTAATCTGTCGCCATCAGCAGAGCACAGAGCCACACATATCGGATGTTGAAACTCCTCCAGGTGCACAGCTTCATCACCAATGCCAAGAACAGTTTTATTTTTCCATCCAGGAATGTATTTTCTTGATCCAGAGCTTCAGGAGGCCCACCCTAGCACTATTTCTCCAAGTGCTAGGACTGCTGGTATAATGCAGAGGGGTCACTCCATGAGGACAATCATGTATCAGCAGTCTTAAAGCCATCATACTAAAGGTGTGGTACCACTCCCCGAAACACATGAAAGATCAGTTGTGGGTTCTGACACAGATGTTCAACTCCTCACAATGGTGGTGAGCCCACTACAGTGCCCACAAGGGCATGCCCAACTGCCTTCCACTTCCTTTAGTCCTGGCAACTGAATCCAACCTGGAAGGCTGGGGAGCTCACTTGGAAACCCAAAACAGCCCAGGGTCTCTGGAGCGAGGAGGAAAAGGCTCACAGCATAAACCTCCTAGAACTGAGAGCTGTCAAACTAGTTCTGCAAAGGTTCCAGCCTACAAAAAGGCTGAACCGTGTCCTGGTTCAGTCAGACAATATGACTATGGTCGCATATTTAAACAACCAAGGGGGAACAAGGAGTCCAGCACTACCCACAGAAGCAATGGACATAATGAGATGGGCAGAACAGTTCCTCCTTTCTCTCAAAGCAATCCACATCACAGGGGACTTGAACCAAAAGGCAGACTGACTTAGGTGCATGGTCAAAAACTCTGAGTGGTACCTGAATCAGGAGGTTTTCGATCCTGTCCAGTTAAGCACTGGAATAAATTGCCTAGGGATGTTGTGGAATCTCTGTCATTGGAGTTTTTAAGAAACTGTCAGGAATGGTCTAGTCATTGCTTAGTTCTGCCTTGAGTGCAGGAGACTGGACTAGATGACCTACTGAGGTCCCTTCCAGTCCTACATTCCTATGATTGATTCAGAGGGAGGCAGACCCAAGATCCACGGGGACAGTTGCCTTATCATGCAGTTGGCCGCAGGGCCTACTTTCTAATTTCTACCCTTTCCACTACTGGAGAAGATGGTCCAGAAAATGAGAACAGGCTACGGTAATAGTGATAACTCCTCATTGACTGCAGAGACCTGGGTTCCCGGAGCTTACAGAGCTGAAACTAGAGTTCCCACTCCAGCTTTCATGGAGACTGGATATCCTCTTGCAAGGTCGCCAACTTCATCTGGACCCAAAACAGCTTCAACTAACAGCCTTGCTGTTGAAAAGGAAGAACTAGAAGGTCTTGGTCAGTCCACCAGAGTCATTAAAAAATTACTTTCGTCTAGGAGAGTATTGACACTATCAGCTCTGGTCCAGATTCAACAACTGGTGCCAAGAGCACAGTGTGTATCCCAGAAATCCAGGAATTCCAACCATACTGGACTTCTCCAAGAAGCCATAGATAGAGGCCTTCAAACCAGTGCTGTTGTGTGTCAGGTGTCTGCTCTTAGTAGCAGGTTATCCTCGGGCTCCCTGGCAGACAATGCACAGATAGCCACTTTCTTTCAAGGAGTTTGATAAGCCACACTGGTGACCTTCTGCCAGTTTTGAGGGCCCTGATGAGCTCTTAGAGCATCTGACTTCAGTGTCAGCCTTTTATTTACCGACTAAGACTTGTTTCTTATTAGTTGTCACATCCTCCAGGCAAGTGTCAGAGCAGGCAGCCTTATCTATACAGGAGCCATATTGCATGTTCCACAAGAGCAAGGTTGTGCTCAGGACACCAGAATTCTTTCTTTCTAAGGTGAATTCATCTTTCCACACTTCCAAAGAAGTTGTGTTTCTTTTGTTCCGTCAAAAACCACAACATCCAACTGAAAAGGTGTGTCAGACCTCAAATGTCAGAAGAGTATTGAAATTTTGTTTCAAGCATAAAGAATCCCTGAGACGATTGAGCTCCTTATTCACGTCCTTCCACATGAAATAGCAAGGACTCAGAACTTCCACGTTCTGCATTTGTAGATGGATTAGACTGTGTATTGTAGAACAAATCATCAGAGGCTCCTGTCCCAGAAGGGATCAAGGTGCTGTCCACAAGATCCTTATAAACCTCGTGGACAGAATGACCAAGTGCATCAATTTCAGACAGTTGCAACGTGGCCACATGGTCTATAAATTACCCCTTCATTAGGCAATACAAGATGGACAGCAATACAGAGGCCTCCTTCGGCAGAAAGGCACTGCAGGCGGTGGCCCAAATATAATACAGACTTCTGAATGAGCTTACAAAAGGGGGGTACTTTTTTCCTACCAAACTTTTGTTTCATATCCCTCCCTACACCTGATCACTACTCGCTACTACCTAAACATCTGGAATTGTGGGAGATGCAAGGCTACAGAAAAGAAAATTTCTTGCCAATAATTTAATTTCTGCTAGCAGTGTCTCCCACAATTCTGCCCTCCCTAGATGGCTCATGAGTCAAGAGTCAGATATAGTCATTAGCATATAATCATCTTCCTTGGTCTAATGTATATAGTTATTTCGTTATCTCTGGAATATGTGTTAATAATAATATGCAAGTTTTACAGTTTGGGAATAACTCATTTGGCTCAAGCAGGAGCAGAGGGGGCATGGCTAAATTTTGCATTCCAAAATGCTGATCTCCCTCCATGAGCTGCAGAAAGAGGAGAGTAGCTGAAGCATCCAAAATTGTGGGACACGCTGATAGCAGAAAGGAAATTATACGTAAGAAATTTTCCAATGCTGGTTCTGTGTAGGATACATGTTTTGGGAACCAGAGTGATAAAGTACATTTATTGGGTGTAACCACACACATTTTGAATAGATGTCTGTCTTTATTTAAATTCAGACATATCAGTATATATTCCTAGCACCATGCCCATGGGAACTTGGGGGATACTGGCCCTGAAATAACTTTTTCATCAATTTTCTAACATCAGACCAGTAGTTATATCAGAATTTAAAGTCAAAAACATTTTCTCCCCAGTTCTTCATGTGAAAAAACACACTGGGGTTTTTTGCTAACATTTAGATTTATAAACATCCCTTTTTCTTTTCCAGGTCTCTTTGAAAGTATATTAAAATTCCTCCTTCTCTCTTCATCTCTTTTTACATTTTAGTTTTTTTTACATGGTTTTAGCTGTGTTTATAATTTCTAGGAGTGGGACTACTCAACAGACATTGGTCTAGGGGTTCTGGACCATACACCAAACCTCCCTATGTAAGGTTGGCCTTCAAGGTGGGAGTCAAGGGGTGAAAAGGGTTAGGCCAGATCCTCGGGTTTAGGTCATAGCATCATATCTGGAACATCTTCATTTCCTGTGCGGTTGTTGCGTTTATCTTATTTCTCAATAAATTTCTTCTCATCCATCAACCTAATTTGACAGAAACTATGGGCATAGTGCTATTATGGTGGTTTTATACATACTTCAGTTTTAACAAGGCTAAAAGTGTGAACAGCTATAGTTGTAATCTTTTCAATTATATGTTTTATATTTATCTAATTATATCTGTTTACTATATTTCTTAACATTTTAATTGAAAAGGTATACATAGAGATGCTAGATAATACTTAGTCCTGCCTCACTGCAGGGGACTGGACTAGGTGACTTATCGAGGTCCCTTCTAGTCCGACTTTTCTATGAATCTATGTCTTCTGGGCAAGGGCTTTCTTCATTTTAATTGTGTGTGTATCTTAGTGTCATCTGAAAAAACACAATTTACCAGGCTGATGAGGAACACTATTCTATTTTCATCCAAAGACTGAAAAAGACTTACACGCAATTTAAGAATTATAAATAAATCATGATCAGACCATTTGATATTCAAAGATTTGGGAAGGGATTTGATCTCGTGAAGTGCTGAGCTCCTGTTGAAGTCAATGACAACTGAAGGTTCTCAACACCTCTCAGGAGGCATTCAGTACCTCACAATAGCTGCCCCCTGTCGATCATCCACTGTAACACTTCTCTGCCTCACATGGGTGTTGTGAGGATAAAGTCATTAATGTTTATGAGGTACTCAGGCACTGCAGTGATGGGAGCCAGGTAAAGCAAGCAAATAAAATAGATAACAATGAGGAAAAGCAAAGAGGCAGATCCTCCTCCCATTCAAGTCAACGGCAAAACTTCTATTAATTTAAATGGGAGCAGGAGTAGGCCCAAAAATTGTGGTGATATATATGGATCTCTCACTGTGAATTGAATGTTTAAAAAATTCTGATTGGTTTTATGTTGATCACTGTATAGAGCAAAACTGGATTTTATTATAAGCAAATCTCCATAGGTTACGTCTCTGAACCACAAATACTTCAGGAGTCACCTAGAAGACTGCCTTTCCCTAGGAAGACCTTTGTTAATAGAAGATGTTGGAGAAGAACTCGACCCTGCTCTGGATAACATTTTGGAAAAAAATTTCATAAAATCTGGCTCAACTCATAAAGTAAGATGAATTTTGAACATGAAAATAAAAGGACAGTGTCATAGATACCTGATATCGGCTGGTGACTAGACACCATAGTGATTGCACCTTTGAAATGTTTAGACAGGCAGACAGCAATTATTTATTTAAGTAAATAATTTATCTGATTTTTTTTAAGAGGGGATCATCTTTCATCGGAAGAAACAACTGTTGTTGGAAAGTGAGCTGTTAAAAAATGAAAAATGTATTTATATTTTATTTTCAGGTAAAAGTAGGTGACAAGGAGGTAGATGTAATGAAGGGATTTACCCTTTATATAACAACTAAATTGGCTAATCCTGCCTATACTCCAGAAATCAGTGCAAAAACGGCTGTGATTGATTTTACTGTTACCATGAAAGGCTTGGAAGATCAGCTCCTTGGCCATGTCATTCTGACTGAAAAACAGGTAAATGCTGATCTTTGGGTTAGCAACATTTGAACTGGTATAAAAAGAAGGCTTACTTGATATTTGCAATTTGAGTTGACTTGTCACAATTCAGGTTGCAACCCAGAACAGTGAGAAGTTGTGTCATCACCTGCCCTGTAACTCCGGGTGCCTTAGATGCTTTGTTGCTCTGACTCACTGCCTGGACACCAACAGCCAGCAGACAACCGCATGGTTCCCTGAGTGTCTGTGTGATGTGCAGCCCTGGTTCAGTGTTCTGATCCTAGGAGCTTGCCTACAACACACCAGCTCCGCAGTGGTTTCCACCAACCTTGGTTACTGCTTGCACGTGACCCCCAACACACTCCCAGTCCCAATTTTTCCCCAAACTGTCTGACCTGAAGTGTCCAGCTCCCTCCTGGAACACTCAGAGAAACAATAAGTTTCATTGCTCCTTTAAAGGGACAAAAGTACAGGTTAACAGTCGCTTCAATTCAAATACAACACGAGGTTGATTTTGAATAAAAGTAAAACAAATTTATTAACAAAAGGACATAGGTTAGGTGATACCAAGTAGAAGGGATTGTAGGTAGAATGGGTTACAAACCAACAAAAGTAAAAATACTCTTTCTAGTGCTTAAGACCTAACTTTACAAGTTACAGTCTTTGCTCAAGGTAGTTTTCTTACCAATCTTTTTTCTTCCCAGCCATGGCTGACTTTCTCTTAGTCAAGACCTTCCACAGATGTACACAGTGCTGGTTTCCCTTGTCTTCCTAGGTGACAGATCTTTGCCTAAGCAGATTTTTCATTTATAGTCAGATCCCAAAGACTTCAACCCCTTGGTTGAAGGCCCCATCTTTCTCAGCTTGTAAAAGCTCTGGCCCCTGGTGTCTGTCCAGTGATGGATGCCAAGAAGCTTCTCTCCCCTTATATCTTCCCAAACTCACTGTATTGTCCCTGGGCTCTGGATGATCTCATGCTATTCTTTCCTTCCTGTGGACTTCCCATTCCCCTGCTGATTTGTATGTAAATTGGGCTTCCATTGTTTTTGGTCACACCTGGCTTAATTTAATTGGAGACGGGTAGAAAGCTGCCTTCCCTCCGATCTGGGAGAAAACCTGTTTCTCCCTTCGTGGTCACAGACTTTAAAGCATAGTATCAGTGAGTATTCATAATTTCTCATATAGTGTTAATGCATACGTTTTACAATGATACTAATCACCAGTGTGTCAGTGGCTTTCCAAATGAACCTTACTTGATGCACTTGTATAAAACAGTAATAATGTATACAATCAGTTGTTTCAATTACTTATCATTTGAGGTTCAGCCCCTCGCAAGGGGCTATCTTGACTTGGTAGCTTGATGACTTTGTTTACCTTTTATGTAAATATGCCTTCATTGTGGTTGCCTCACGACCAGGCTGGTCAGATAAAGAAATACACATTCCTCTGGCAAGCAATGCATAAGCCCAGTCTGCCCTAGACAAACACATTTTAAGAACATAATACTAGCACGGGTCTATAACACTTAGTACATACCTTGTACATACATCATGTAAGAATATTAATGATCAGTAAGCTATTTTTTTCCAATGGCGTATTACATGCCAACTTTTGGTTGTATATCATGACAACAGTGTGTTAGGTGTAGTGAGCTGACAAGAGTTGCTGACAGAGTAGTGAAGAATCAATGGGTCTCTGTGTCACACTTGTTTTGCATAACTCTGAACCAACTCAAAGACTGTGAGTACAAAAAAATTGAATGAAAGTGTAAGTTTTATTGGGTTTACTCTCACATAGGAGAGAATGGTGGGGGGAAGGAGCTGAGGAGAGAGAAAATGCTAATAAAAATAAAGATGTAGAGTAACATATATTCCATACATGAAAGCATCCACTTGAACCAGCCTGGTTTTGAGGCAGTTCCTTGTTCCCTGATATGTAGCACAGGCTTCCTGTTCAATGAGAAAAAGATTTTCATAAATCAGAATGTTTAAAAATTGAGTTTATTACATGCAAAAGGGCTGCTGAACTTAAATCAATTTTGTGAACCCAGGCCTGTCTCTAGTGTTTGAGGAAATCTAACATGGGATTTTCAAAAGTGCTCAACTGTGGTCTGACTGTGCCCTTTGAAACTCCTGTTGATTTAATTGGGAACAGAGTTAGGCCAGTGCTGAGTGCTTTGAAAATCCTATCGCTAGTGTTTTGCAGAGCCTTACTCCCTCACATCAACCCTGTGAAGTTCTGCAACTTCATTTCTTTCCTTCTTAGACCTTTTCTATTCATCTCTGCCCTGCCACTTCATGGTTTAATTGATTACTTACTGGAAAGTTTAGCAGTCAATGCCTTGCTAACTAGGGCTGCAGAATATCTGTTTAGAATTAGCACTATCTACTGCTTTAGGATGCAATTGTGAAATGATAAACATTTATTAAACCTCTCCCTTTTAGCAGAGATAAAATAGTTAAGGTACCTGTCCCTCTTCTCTCAAGAAAAGATTAACGTTCTGCCACAGAAACTCAAAACCAAGGGAGCTCTCTCTGATAATGATAAATTGTAAATTGTATCAGAGAAACTGAAAAGCAGGCCTCCTGTTATAATCAGGAAGGCAAGTACACAACTACTGACCTTCAGCAACAGATTAAAAATGAAAGAAAGAGCCCTGACCTTCTTAAGGGCTGCTACAGGAATCAATAAAACGTATAACCAGTGGAGGGTGTGTTCTTCTCATCTTAAAAAGGTGTTGCTGAAACCACTTGGGTGATGATAATGATAGAAGAACCCTGTTGCACCATGATAGTGAAGGTGCTGTCACTACTTCTGTTCTAAACTGCTATTTTCTGATATTATAAATGCATCCATAAAAATTCTTCGCAGGCAGAAGCCTAGCATTGAGGGGCAAAGGGGGAAAAATTGTTTAACCATTTTTTGAAGATATACATAAAAGTATTAAATATGGAATGAAAACTGTATTAAAGATAAATACATGCTCAAAGACTCTGCTGAAGTATGACAGAGTGCCTGTGACAGAGTGCTGAGAGATGGAGTTTGAGCCAGTACTCTGGGCACTACTGGCAGCAATTAGGTTCCCCTGGAGAAGGCCTAATTGGTCAAGGGGTGCCTGGTTACTAGGCAAGAGTGGGGTTAGGAAGTTAATGAGCTAAATCGTCCATTAACAGGCAAGTGTTTTAAAAAGAGCACAGGAAGGAAGTGATGGATGGGGAGGCCCAGTCTGGCCTGGCCCAGGTAAAGGGAGACCTCTGCAGGGGGAAATCTCTTCCCTCTCTTCTCTCTGGCAAAAGGGGATGATGGTCATATACCACTATAAATAGAATTGCTGCATGGGACCGTAAGGGGGTGATGCTTGATATAACACAAATAAAATGTACAGCATTCAGAACAGAGTTCCATTGTCTCAGTAACACGACATATTGAAATGAATGAAAATAGATTGTCAGGAGTTATGGATAGAGATAAACCAATAATTTGTTTAAAAAATACCAATTTTACAATAAAAGGTTTAATCTTTAAGGCTAAATAAACTGAAAGTTTAGGAGAGGCAAAGCATCCTCCCTGCAGAGGATGGGTCAAGAGGGTCTTCCAGCAGCTGGGCCTAGAGGCCCTTCATGGCCATACCCCAACACTCCATTTATGCAAAGGGACTCCAGAGGTGGCCACTTACGCCGTCTTTGGGTCTGTATTATGCCACTGAAGCAGCACAAATCAGATTGAATGGGCTGAAGATCTGCTCCGTTGTTCATCTTTCTTGTAGAAATATTATAGAAAGGTCACACTGTACAGATGTTCGTCACTAGAGCATCTCTTGCTTTATAAGCTGAGAGAAAATTGTTACTTTGCTAAACCAAAGAATAATAGAAGTTAGAAATGGAAAAGGTCATCTATCCAGTTCCCCCGCCTATGCAAGATTAGTCCCTGCATTACATTTTCCAGTCCTCTGTCCAGTCTAATTTTAACTATCCAAAACAATGTGTCTTTTACTACAGCTTCATAACATTACTGTCAGGAAGTTTTCCTGATACTCAACCTACTATTTCATTAATCCATATGCTCCATTACTCAAATTAATACAGTATGCACATACATCCCATTTTACATACATTTTTGTGTCTTAGAGAAACAGTAGAAAAATTCCCGTTCTTTCTGCCATACATGAAATCATGCATTTTCTGCATGGGTATAAGTCGTCTCTCCTTTGAATAAACTTTAAAGATTCTAATATTTTCTTCTGTAGGAACTGGAGGCAGAAAGAGTCAAGCTGATGAAAGAAGTGACATCGAACAAGAGGAAAATGCAGGATCTTGAAGACAGTCTTCTCTTCCGTCTAACCAGCACAGAAGGGTCTCTGGTTGACGATGAATCTCTGATAGAAGTCCTAAGAATCACTAAAATAACTGCAGAAGAGGTGACTTTTGAATAAATTGGGGATATATTTTGTTATTTAAATATTGTCTGAACAGACTCGCCTCTTTGCTGTTGTTCCACAGTTTATAATACTACCTAATATCTGACTGTATAACAAATAAATAATCTAATTCGGCCTGGCAGGAATCAATTTTAATGGCTAAAGATCAGTAAACACTAGTTTCCACAAATACACTGAAATCTGGGGAAAAACATCAATTGATAAAAGTTGGCACAAGTATAGCCTCTCTCCTTCCCGCCGCAGCACCTTGTGCCTCCAGGGATCGGGTGTCACCAGCCCTGTAGCAGAGTGCAGGGAGCCCAGGACCTGCTCACTCGCTCCTATAAGAGCTGAGCTGCAGAGGACTTCCTGCACCGCCCCCAGGGTTGCTGACACACGATTTCTGGAAGCATAAGGTGTGTTGGGTGGGGGTGAGTTGGGAAGGCTGTGGTCCTGGCAGGGCAGAGCAGAGAACCCCCAGCCGGGACTGGAACGGGGAGGAAGAGAAGCACAAGTCTACGGCAGGATCCTTCAGCAGTTGGGGTGGCCTCCCCTGTGGCTGGGGGCTCCTCCTCAGCCTCTTATATTGCCTAGGGAGTCTCTGCTCTGCCAAGTTAGGGTCACAGCCTCCCACTCACAGCTGCAGGGATCAGGTGTCAGCACCTCACAGCAGCACAGGGAGCCCTCTGCAAGCCTACCTTGCGTTCTCTACAGAAAATACAACTCTGGCGGGGCACGTTTTAATAAAATAATGCCTAGTGGGCCCAAGCAGTATCAAAGTACACTGTGGTTGTGCAAACACATATGAAGACACAGTGCCTGCCCAGAAGCTCTTACAATAAAAAGTAAAATTTAAATAAAAATACTGTTATCTTCTTAATCAATACCTTCCTTTCTATCTTTGCTGTGTAAATCGCAAGTGACGCAACATAATCTACATGGTCTTTCAATGTATTTTAAGGTGAGTGAAAAGTTAAATGTTGCAGCAGAGACAGAGGTGAAAATCAACACCGCACGTGAAGAATATCGTCCAGTTGCTTGTCGTGGCAGCATCCTTTATTTCCTAATTGTGGAAATGAGCTTGGTAAATGTAATGTACCAAACATCCTTACGGCAATTCCTTGGCATTTTTGATCTATCGGTGGAAAAATCATTGAAATCTCAGATCACAGCCAAACGAGTAGCCAACATAATTGAGCATCTCACCTATGAAGTATACAAGTACACTGTGCGAGGGCTGTATGAAAATCACAAGTTCCTCTTCACATTGCTCATGGCACTGAAGATTGACTTGCAGGCCAAGAAAATTTCTCACAATGAGTTTCAGACACTCATCAAAGGTAGTTTCTTGTAATATGTTCCTATTTAAATATATCCATGAGTTGTCAAACCAGCACTTTGCAATATTTATACTACCAGTATTTTGTGCCTTCCATCCAAGGATCTCAGGATCCATTAGTTAAGGATTCCATGGTGGACCTTGGTGGGGTGGTGGTGCAAACAGCTACTGTGCCTTCTGGCATGCAAGAAGAGCATGAGCATTGTGATGCCCTTGACAAGGATGCATCATGTGCTTCCTCATTCTAGGCCAGGTTTTTTGGCCTAGAGGAAGGAGGATGAGATTGTCCTCGGATCCTCTCTCCTTCCGCTCTGGGGGCTTTCATGCAGCACCCTATTTGGTAGGCAATTATTCCCACTTTTCAGATGAGGAAAATGAATAATGGAGAAATTAAGATAACCGCCCTGTGGTCTGCTGAGAACCTTTAACTTCTACCCCTCAGGAGGCATTGTGCACTTCAGAGTCATGCCCTAAGAGCCCAGATCTCTTGACTCCTCCTGCGTGTTAATACAAGACCACCTTTTCTCCCTTCCATTTTGTGGACTTTGGGTTATAAACAGTCCTTCTGAATTAACAAAGTTTTGCAATGCAGTTTTGGGAGTCCAAATTTCTGTTTGCAAATTCCATAAGATGGTTACTACTAAGAGTTAAGTACTTTGCTGACTCATAATTTTTGGCTTAAATAATGTATGCTTTCTTCACAATGCTTTTCATCTTGCAGGAGGTGCAAGTTTGGATCTGAACTCTGTACAGCCAAAACCAAAGAAGTGGATCCTTGACATGACATGGCTCAATCTTGTACAGTTATCTAATCTGTACCCTTTTAATCAGCTTCTGGGGCAAGTTACAAGGAATGAAAAGGCCTGGAAATCCTGGTTTGATAAAGAAGCACCTGAAGAGACCCCTCTTCCTGATGGGTATGACCGTTTACTGGATACATTCCGTAAACTGCTCCTTATCCGGAGCTGGTGTCCTGATCATACCATTGCTCAGGTGAGAAGGAGAGATTTAATGTACGGTATAAGCCATAAGCGAGCATTATTGATATAAGTTTCTTTGGTTTTGCAACAAAATATATGGTAGAAATCCAATTGCCTGTTCTGAAGGTTTGGAAATATTTTATGGATACTTTTTACGTAGCTGGTTATAAGAAATTAAAAAAATATGTAATATGTTAATTAATTTGTTAGAGCTATTATATTGCTTTATGTGCCAGGAAGGATTACACAGTGGCACAGCTATACAGTATAGTCCTGAAATTTGTACAGCTTTTGTGGTTCTTCACATAAGAAGACACAGTCTCATTTCTTCACTTAAGCAGTGGAAAGAGAACAGTTCAGTTTGAATCTCTGAAAGGCACATTGCAAATATGGAACAGGTCGACACAAAACAATTTTCCTTTTTTTTTAATTGCCAGCAAACTCATAAATCTGTTATTTGTACAGCTCTAATCACGTCCCTTCCACTCTCACTCCAAATTCTATGCCTGTAGCCAGACTAAAGAGGAGCATCTCACTTCTCCTATCTCATCTATCATTATTCCAACTCTTACAGGTAAATTGTGGAGTAGCTACACACCCAGCTTCTTCATCTAGAGGACACCCAGCACTCCACATTTTCCCGCAAGGCCCCACCCCCCCCCCGAGGCTCCTCCGTGCCCCTTCCCACTCTTCCCCATACACCCAGCAGCCGCTGAACAGCTAATTGGCAGTGGGCGGGAGGCGCCGGGGCAGGATGGGGTGGAGCTGATCGGCGGAGCCCACCGAACAGTTGGTCGGTGGGTGGCTGATGGATGTGAGCACAAAGGAGCATGCACAGAATCGGTGCTTATGATCTAGTGATTGCTCCACCATAATATCTGTATACCCCAGGCCTAGATGCACAAAAGGAGTTAGACATTTTGGCACTCAGCATTGCAATGCTAAACTTTTAGGCACCTAGAAAATCACAGGAACAACATTGTGATCCACAAAGCCTGAGTTAGGAGCCTAGGTTCCCTGTACAAGGAATGGGGAGAGATAAGTGCCCAATAATGCAATCCACAAAAGCCAGCATACTAGATGGGGAGCAATCTAAGCTATCCATTGGGAGATGCCAACAAGCGAAGTGTCTGTCCCTCTGTCCCTCTTTTAGAGATAGGCATCTAAGTCCAGGCTGCAGGGAGACACCTATCTCTGCCACTGATCTACAACCCTTCTTATGGAGTTAGGCAGCTTAGGTGTAGGAGAAGCCTGAGAAGGGACTCTCTATATACCACAATTACTCCCAGCCCATGGACCCTCCTTCTGCCAGGAGAAGAAACTCTGAGTCTGGATGGTGTATCCATCCTCTTTAGCATTTGAAACCTAGCAGGTGGTTCTGTCCTCACTGATCAGGGATTCTTTGTGGGGTAAATCCCCTGGCCCAGTCCACCAGAAAAAAAGGTCCACAGTTCCCTCTTGCATTCTCAAGTGTGCAACTGAACCACTTGGCAAGGAGTCTTTCATTCTTTCCAAATCTCCTTCCTTCCATGAGGAGGATATGGGAACCCTCAGGAGTGTTTCTCTCCATTTCCTGGCCAATGGCAGAGTAGAGATGAGGGGTCCAGGCTGTAATCAAGTCAGCAAGAAGAAGTTATAGAATTTCCACTCTTAGAAGGGATGACCATCATTGCCTCTTTCATGAAGACAAGGCCCTTTTGCATACTGCAGAAACATTCATTACAAAGACAAACTCTTTATTCCAGGTATCATAGAAGAGCATTCTTCCTTTGAAAGGAAGAGCACGGCACATGCTAGATGTGAAACGAACAGTTAAAATATACCTTAGTGGAACCAAACAGTTAAGAAAAAATACCTCTATTCACTTCCTTTCTCCCTATATTCTGGGGTCTGAAAGTTTCTAAATCTCCCATTGCCAGCTGGATAAGCTGCATCACCAAAGTCTATACAGTGTGACAGACCCAGACCAGTGGGGTACAGGAGTTTGGTAGAAGGCAAATATACTGGCCACTGGATAAACAGTTTTCTGTTTCCTGAGTGACCAGAGCAGGGGATGCCCTAGAGCAATCAGGAACCTGCTAGAACCAATTAAGACAGGCATGCTAATCAAGACACCTAGAGCCAATTAAGAACTTTCTAGAATCAATTATGGCAGGCAGGCTAATCTAGACACCTGGTTTAAAAAGGACCTCCCATCAGTTAGTAGGGGAGTGTGCAAGGAGCAGAGAGTGAGAAGGTGTGCTGCTGGAGGACTGAAGAGGTCAAGCTTGATCAGGCTTCAGGAGGAAGATCCTGCAGTGAGGATAAAGAAGGTGCTGGGAGAAGGCCATGGGGAAGTAGCCCAGGGAGTTGTAGCTGTCACACAGCTGATACAGGGAATATTGTAGACAGCTGCTATCCACAGGGCCCTGGTCTGGAACCCGGTGTAGATGGTGGGCCCGGGTTCCCCCCCCATCCTCCCAACTCCTGTTCGGGCACAGGAGGAGTTCACCTGGTCTGTGAGAAACACCAGAAGGGAAGGTCTAAATTGGAAAGGGATCTGGTCTGTCCCTGACCCACTAGGTGGGACACAGAGACTGCGGGGGTTGTTCTAGTTTCCCCTATGCTGGCCAGTGATGAGATTAGCTGAGTGGACGGCAGGTTTGAGCCACTAGCAAAAGTGGCCAAACTGAGGGCTGCCGTGAATCTCTGAGGCAAGCAAATCCACCAATAAGCGCAGGACCCACCAAGGCAGAGGAGGAACTTTGTCACAACAGCTGTGGATAAACCAGTTCTAGAACGGTTCAGAGTCTGCCTAATCTGCTCACTAAGTCACATATCTTGGACTGGGGGAGAGGTCATGATCTGTAATGAAAAATTTAGTTCCCTGTCAGCCCACTCACGCCCAAGATAAGTCCTTCCGGGTGCTTCTTTAATGGGACTCTTCAAGATTCATATATATATAGTTAGTACACTTGAAGAGGCATTATTGTCCAAAAGGTTATGTTTTATATCCCAGTCAAAATTTACTCTTTCAAGTTAGCTTTGGAAGTACTCATGTGAAATGAGGGCAGAAAGGGTATGGGTAAGTCCCAGAGCCTTATGGATAAAATCTGAGCTGCTTCCAGTATTTACAGGAGAGGTGCTGCCCACATGTCTTGGACTGGGAATAGGTCAGTCCCAGAAAGGACAGCATCAGGTAAGAAATTTTCTATTTAAAGCTATAATATTTGTAACTTGGGTTTAAGTTAAACTGAAAATTAAACTTAGATCTAGCTCCTCCATCCGGTCCACCAGGGCTATCTGTGAATGGTTCCTCAGTTTCCATGGTAGTAGACATTGGGTTTGTGTGACACACATTGATTTGGGTACGGGTATACAAGTAAGATTATTTAATATGTATTTGGAAATGTTTGTTGCAGGCTCGGCACTACATTGCAGAATCTCTCGGTGTGAAATATGCAGAAGGATTTATTCTTGATATGGAAGCAATGTGGACTGAAAGTGACTGTCGAACATCCTTGACTTGCTTTTTATCTATGGGATCTGATCCCACTGAAAATATAGAGCGTCTTGCAAAATCAAAGGTATCTTAAATCGTATTTAGTAGAGCTGCATGAACAGTGGTAAAAATTATCGATGAATATTTTGTTGAATTAGAAATTGAATTTTGATTTGCAGTGAGCTCACCCCTTTTTGTCACTTTTCACATGCATTCATATGAGCCCACTTTGGTTCATGCCTGTGTTCTTAGGAAATGGATTTTGGGTCTGTTCTACTTTTCCCAGTCAGTTTGTACAAAGAGACAGCTGTTTCTGTGCCAGAGACCACCAGGAGGTATCTAGTTGTAACAAAAAAGCAGTGCTGGTGGTGTATATTGTTATCTTTTGTTTGTTCTGTGAACTGATGGCAGTTACAGTTGGAAATAGAACAATGTTTAATTAATCCAGCAGGTGAACAGATTTGTGAAAATGTTCCTCGGAAGCCTGGCTGATGCCCTGATGTGGAGGGTGTTTTGGGGAACCAGACCCACCTTTCTTAACTAGAACCGTACATACACACGCCATAGTTCCCAATTCATTTGTGTCAGTGACTGCAGTGAATGATGAAAGACAAAAGGAAACTGGAGACCATAACATTCAATACATTTGCGTGGTAGATACATGAAAAATTGCTTACCAACAGCACAGCATCATTGGAAAGGGTTGTGGTCCCTTGTATTTATGGTTCAAAATGTAGATATAAACATGAATTTACCGAGAAGAAATTTTCACCTGAATAATGGATCCCCATTATGCTGCCTGCCTATGAGGATGTATATGAGACTCTGACCAAAATTTTCAAATAAAGATGCATAAAGTTATAAAAATTGGGTAAGAGTGGCCTGATATTCAAAGTGCTGAGCACCCATAGATCCCATTAGCTTCATTCGAACCTCTGGATGCTTAGCACCTTTGAAATTCAGGCCAATGTTATTTAGGTGCTTAAATAAGATACAGATTTAAGGGTCTAACTTTAGGAACACAAGTTGGATTACCCTGGGCATGATCCCCATCCCAGAGAATTTACGGTCTAGGAAGCTAACACACAATCACTGGGTGGGGAAGGGAGGCAGTTGGAGTGAGCTGGGGAATATGGCATCCTTCTTCTTAGCTCCAATTTTTTATTTTTAAATAGAGGTTGTGAAGACACCCCTGAGACAGGGACTAGGATCTGTATCTTTGTTGGAAGCAGTGCATTTGAAGGGGTAACTTGAAAGAGACAATCTCAAAATTAAAAGCAAAATAAAACCCAAACCTTTCAGTGTGGATCTTCAAGCTACCCTTCTTGTCCCCAGGGATCAGAAGACGCTCTTCCTTGGAGTATAAAAGATCCTTACTGTGATCTGATGCGGTGTGACATTTTGGGAATCACCCAGACCAGAAAGGGGTTCTGCCACCTCCTGCTTAGTTTCTTTATCCTGTGCAGCTTTGGTCCAGACCCCTGACACCAGTATCGTGCCCCCAAGCACAAGGTTTCACCCTGGCTTCCACCAGCCTAGTTACTCCCTGCAGGATGACACCAGCAGGCCGTCCAGTCCTGAGTCTCTCCAAATCCGTCCTCCCCATGCTATTAACTACAAGATACTCGGACTTTTCCCCTCTGGTTCACAGGCCCTGGAGGTGTGAAACCAGCCTCCCAGACACAAGCTCCACTCAGTTTCCACACCAGAGACCTGCTTGGGGTAAAAATAAACAAAAGGTTTATGTAATAGAAAAGCCACAGATTCAAAGATGAAATAGTAAGAGAGAGGAAACTTATACAAGTTACACAGAAAATAAACATAAATGTGCATTCTCAGGTGTTTCACTTCCATATTAGATAAAATCCCTTTTCTAATACATTCCCTCTTCTACCTATTGCTTTTGAACCGTTTCCTAGCATACCCCTTAGGCAGAGGGAGGATCCAGTGTTTCATGGACAGCAACCACCAAGTCACTGTCCTTCAGTTTCTGGATGCCTTTTGTTTCAAACCCCTTCCATTTTAAAAGGGTTCACAATTTTTTTTCCTTCAGACATGGTGACTCTTAGTTGGGGAAATTCTAGCTGGGATGTCTCAGTATCTTTCCAGTAACTCGAATGGCCCATCATTTGTCTTTTCCTGGGTGGTATAGTGCTAGGTGCATGGAGCTAGTCTCAACTGGTTGTGGAGGCAGCCCCTCCCTGCCTGTCTGTCCTCCACCCTGAGGGGTGAGGTGGAACTGCACCACAGATTATGAGCACAGTTGTCCATATACACAAATACATAAATTCATAACCAGAGCCTGTCTACGTATCTCATAATGACCACTAAGTTTAGAACATTACAAACTTTCATTAAAGACCTTGCTCAGCATGTTTTTATAGCACACATGGTATACAATCAGTTGATTCAACTGCTTATTCTTTGGGGTTCAAGCCCCCTGTTCTCCCCTGTCTGGACCCTGATTGTCACAAGGGGGGTCTTGCAGGTGTTGTCCAGAAATTGATTTTTTCAGTACTCTCGGCTGCCTTCGTGATACTTGTGATTCCATGGCCTACTGTTTTGCCAATAATAGCCTCATTCCATCCTCCCTTGCTGCCAGTAATGGCAGGTCTACACTTAAAATGGTGCATCGGAGCAGCTCTCCTGTTGACATAGCGCTGTCTACACAGGGGGTTAAGATTGGTATACCAATGTCGCTCAGGGGTGTGGATTTTTCACATGTAGTTATACCGACATAGGTCTGTAGTGCCGACCTAGCCTCAGTCTGTGCTGTAGCCTCCTCTTAGAGGAAGACGAGAGATTAATCAATCTAACCCTCCTGGCTACACGAAGGTGAGAGATCATCCTGCAGCCTCCCTATGCCAGGGATACGCACTCAACCCTGACACAACACAAGGCCTGGGCCTACCCCAGAAACACCCTGGGGCCCTGCCTCTCTGTGCCAGGTGCACCAGGTGTGGGGCAGGCAGACTCAACCTGGCAGGATATAAGTGTGGATGGGCTCGGTGTGGTGGGATCCAGGTGTGGGGTGAGAGGATTCTGTATGGGACAATCTGGGTGCAGGCAGCTCAGTGGGGGGTCTAGGTGTGGGGGGGATCTGGGTGCAGGCAGAGGCTCATTGGGGCCGTTCCAGGTGCAGGGGCAATGGGACTCTGCCGGGGCTTCCAGGTGAACGTGGTTGGGGCTCAGCGGAGGGGTCTGGTGTGGGAGTCTCTGCAGGGGGGTCTGGGTGCTGGGGGAATGGGGCTTGGTGGGGTGGGGGTCTGGGTGCAGTTAATTGGGGGTCAGTAGGATGGGGTTCGGGGGATGCAGGGAGGTGGGGCTCAGGGTGTGGGTTTGAGTGCAGGGAGCTCAGTGGGGGGTGGTCTGGGTGCAGGAGTGAGGGTCTGGAGGCAGGAGGTCTGGGGGCAGGGGTATCCAGATGCAGGGGTTGAGGTTCAAAGAGGTGGGGTTTGGGTATGGAGAGCTAGGGGGGTTCTGGGTGTATGGGGTGAGGCTTGGTGGGGTGTCTGGGTATGGGAGGTCCAGATGCATGGGGGTTGGGCAGATGGGGGAGCAGCTCCCTGTACAGTGAGCCCTCCCCTGCAGCTGAGGAGCGATGGGGGCAGGAAGCATGGGAGGATGCTGAGCTTCCTGCAGCTGGGGGAGGTTTCTGGGGGTGGGTCTGACCCAGCCCCAGCCCCTCCTTTCAGGGGTAGAGGAAGTCCCGTCTTCTGCCTCCAGCCCAGCTGGGACTAGCAGCTGAGCCCATCTCAGGTTGGGAGCCACTGGCTGGGGTGTCCCCAGCCTTACGGTGATTTACCTCTCCACTGGCTGCTCCGGGTTGTACCCGTGCAGCAAGGGAGTGGTGCGTGACTGCTCTTGCAGCTTCCCTTTGTTTCCCTGTCAGAAGTCATTTTTCTGCAGGGAAGCAGAGAAATCCGTGGGGGTCATGAATTCTGCACACACTCAGTGGTGCAGAATTCCCCCAGGAGTAAAACTCCACAAGATTGCACTTGCAGAGGGTCTTTCTGATTGCCTCAGGGCAGCAGGGTTGCTCCCACATTAGCGGCAGGGGGTTTGGCCCCCATAAATCCTGGGGCTCTGCTGGAGGCAAGGACATCCATGCACAGAGCTTCACTTCTTATCTTGAGCCACACTTTCCTTTCCTACATTTTTTCCCCAGATAGCTCCTGATTAAACTAAATCCATACTGTCATACAGTAAACATCCCAATAACCAGATCAACATACAGTATTCATAAATCACTACAGAACTGCTCCAAATCCATCACACCTCCTGAAGATTTTCCACAGCATAAGGGGGTGTGATATACCCTTAGGGTACAACCTAGACTGCAAGACCAATGAGTCCCTTTAAACTCTGCACCTGGGCTGTCTGTCTCTCACAGTGCTTTGCTAGTGACAAACAGCAAATACCTCCAGGTGCTGAGATCAAGCAGCCATCAACATGTAGAGGCACATGTCCAGCTGAATTGCATGAATGCTCTCTAAGCCACTCATGAATTGTATGCAGGGAGACCCCAGCCTCCAAGTCTTGCACCCCAGTGATGTCCTGTCTTACACTGCTCAAGACCTTCTCTTGAACAGTGCAAGCTCATTAATTAGTTCACCACTTCGTGACAGGAAATTGGACATGCACCAGCCTTTGTAATCTGAGCAGATTCCCCAACCGCTTTAGACAAACTCACTGGTAAGGACAAAACATTAAAATAAGTTTATTAACTACATAAAGATAGATTTAAGTGATTATAAGTGTTAGGTACAGAGGTCAAAGTTGGTTACATAAGAAATAAAAATAGAATCACAGTATAACTTTAACAGACTAAGCAAGATTTGAATCAAACAGCTTTTCTTAGCTCACTGGATGTTCCAGGCACTTTACAGTTCTTAATGCACAGGCTGAATTCCCTTCTCAGCCTGGGACCAATCTCCCCAGTTCAAAGTCTTTGTCTTCCAAACAATCTTCCAGGTATTGAGATGGGGGAGGAGAGAGGCTAAGAGGTGATGTCCTTGACCCTCATTTATACTTTCTCTCCAGGTGCTAGAAAGATCTTTGCTGTGACGTGGGGGGGAGGTAGCCTCCATTGTGTACATACCCTCTCTGAGAGAGTGGGATTCTTTTTGATGAGCCATCAACACGTCTGGCAGGTCCTGATGTAAATCTGTCTCGTCAGTATTAGTTGCTCCTTTGTTGCCACTGAAAGGCTAGCTGTGGGCATTTCCCACCTAGCACATATTTCAGTAACAAACATATAGCAATACTTCCTAAGTTATCATACAATGATAGAACCTACAATTCAACAAGATATTAATGTTCAACACATCAAGACTTTTTAAATGATCGCTCACAAGGCATATTTTGTACAAAACATATAATTATATCACAGTGGTGAATATGGGGGTTCCAGGATGCTGTTTTGAAGTACAGAGTGTCAGAAGGGGAGAACAGTAAGCTACTACACACCCTGCTCACAGTAATGTGTGGTACTTTAACTGGAGGGGTGGGGGAGCTGTTACCAGATTTGCCCATTACTTTGGGGTACGCTCATTTATTAGGGTTATTCTTCCGAGGGGAGGGGGTTCTGTAATTCTGTTAATGTACTGCTCGTGTCCCTTGTGTTTTTATATGGAGCTCTACTTCTCCCTTCTGCGAGTCCCCTCCCAGTGGAGCTGTCCTGCAGGACCTAGGTTCCCCAGGGCTGAGTTCCTCCAGCCCCAGAATCAGATGAACACACACACAGACACACTAACACAGCAAGTCTGAGTGGACTGGGTCAATCAGCACTCTCAAGCTGACCCCTTATATGTCCCTGGACTCAATAAGCTGGGCCAAGCAGCACTTCCAAGCTGCCACCCTCATATGTCCCAGGTTCAGCACTATCCCCACTTTCACATTACAATTGTTCTGGAAATAACCCACTTGATGAGCAAACCCCACCGTAGTTTTGGACACTACAGGGATCTTTAGCTTAGGTAAGAGGAGCGTTGCTGCGGAGTAAATAGGGAAGCCAGAAACACTAAAGAGAAGTTCAGAGAGAGAGAGGGAGGGAAGCAATCAGCTTAACCATAAAAGTTATTTCTTGAATAACCACACAAGGAGAGCCGAAACAGACATAACAGTTACATTATTAAAGATTACAAAAACTGATCAAACAAGTCAGGGTTAAAAAGTTATACCTGAGGTAGAAAAGAAAACAGAGAGAGAGAGAGAGAGCTGGGGTCTCACCACTCCATGAAGCGTGAACTGGTCGGGGTTCCCAGGTGATGGTCAGGGTCCATAGCTCAGGGTCCTGAGTGCTGGTTACAGGCAGAGCCCCCAGCGCGATCAGTCAGGAGAAGATGAAGTGCCAGTGGAACTGATGCAGAGTTTGAATTCAGGCATCAGAACACTTACTTGGGCGTGCGTAGGAGTTTTTTGTAGGGAAACAACAATGGTTCAAGGGAGAACACTAGATTTGTTTATGGGTAAACTGTTTTCTTTAGGCTAGACAATAGGAACTGATCATTCAGGGGTGGTGTTCCTTCAAGGGAGCTCACAATGCAATTAGGCAGCTTCAGTATTTTGGATATCAATCAAGGGTTCATTACTAGAATTAGTCTGATGACTGCTGAGCTGGGTGTGTGCAGGCGTGGGTTCATTAACATCTGGAGCAGAGATCCCCCATGATGCAGTGCGTCCCTGCTTTTCTGGTCCCAGAGTTCAGTGTGGTTCTTGCCTTGGAATCTCTGTTCTCCATGCTGTATGCTAATGGAGATGCCTCCCTGTCCCATCTTTGATGCAAATGAGGCTAGGGGAGTTGCCTTAATCTTGTCACCCTTGTCAGGAGGGGTTTAGGTGTGTCTCCCACCGCCTTTTCATTGCTTTCTGTAAGTCTTTCTTCTGTTGGCTTTGGTTCAAGCAGAAGACTGGGGTGGGGGTGCCCTTCATGAACCAGACAGGCTGGATACTGCACCCTGGTTCCCCAAGAACACAGAGCTGACTGGTGTCAGGGCATCCAGCAGAAAACTGCTGGTTATATCCAATCCACCCTTCCCTATCCATGTTGCACCACAGAAAGGTTTCCACAGAGTTGTGGGGAAGGGAAGTGCAGCACAGGTGGGTGTTTCATGGATCCTGCTGCAACCATGTTCATAGAAGTAGTTTCCTCTGAGCTTGTGCGGGAGGAGAAGAGGATAGGGGCCTGTTCAGAACCCAGATCTTCAGAGGTGTCAGCTTTAGTGCAGCCCCCTTACATTTCATTTCTTTGTCTATTAAGTTCCATAAGCCCCTGTGGTGCTGTAAAAATAATAAGCAACACTAATAATCATTCCTAAGAGATTACAAGATACTTTTTTCTTACAGAATACTCCTTGTCGTGCCATTTCAATGGGTCAGGGCCAGGAGATCCATGCAAGGCGCTTATTAAATCAGTGTATACAAGATGGAGGATGGCTCCTTCTGCAGAACTGCCACCTGGGCTTGGATTTCCTTGATGAATTATTGGACACCATCATAACAACAGAATCTATGAACCCTCGTTTCAGGACGTGGATTACTACAGAAGTCCATTCAAAATTTCCTATTAATCTTTTGCAGTCATCTATCAAATTTACTAATGAACCACCTCAAGGTAAAAAAAATCATCCTGACAGTTGCTGCTTTTACTGATTACTCTATGCTGCTCTATGTTCTCCCTGTTCTTCAGTTAACTAAATGCAACCCTGTGTGAATCAATTTCATTATGCATGAAGCTTTAAACTGTTTTTGTGAACATTTTCATTGTTCATTTTCTAACACAGACTATTGGCGATCTTGTTGTTTCAGTATATAATAAATTGTGAAGAATATTAGGCCAAAATCTGCAATTAGTGCTAAAAATTGATGCCTAAGTTTAGATTTTGGAGCCTAAATAAGTGGCTTGAATATCAACAGGAGCTGTGGTGCTCAGCACTTTTGCAATCAGGCTATGTACATAGATGCTTAAAAATAAATTTAGGTGCCTAACTTTTGGCATCCAAGACTGCCAGAATTTTCAGTAATATACAGATGCTGTTTCTCATAATGAAATATTTTCCAACGAATGGATGGCTGTGGAACTTGAGGCTTGTAACAAGTTTAGTATCTTGCTGGAAACACAGATCATAAGTATTTACCACCATTTAGTCCTGGGATATTTAAGTTTCCAGGGTATTTATGTTTATTATAATTTACCCTCCTGATTTAGAAAGGTGTTTTCATTAGAGGACAAAATTATGTTCCTGTTTACAGAAATCTTTATGGTAAGGTAGAACCCCTTCCTGCTCTGAACTGAAACTACACGTATTGGGCCGGAGTGTTTTCACATAGACACGTGCAAGGAGGTTTCCTGCAGCCATGGATCTTCCCTCTCTGCCTGGAAGGGGGGCTTCAAACCATCCACAACACTGTTCCCCTCATTACACCCTGTAGAGGCTCTGTGTGGTTCAGGGTCTTCTGTGAGAAGAGGTTGTATTCAGGCAGGCAGGAGGAAGGGTCAACAGGAAAGGGTTAGCAGGACAGACATCATCCCGCACTCTAGCTCCACAGAAATTATACTGACAAGTTAACATAGCCCCAGGCCTCATTCACTTTTCTGCAGATCCTACCCAGGGTCTGTGGCAGCTGATGTGGCTGGGGTTAGTCCTTGGAAGCACGGCTCCAAAGCCACTGCGCTGACTGGAATCTGGGTGTCACAGGAGGACCAGTGGCCAGAGCTGCTGCAGGGGCACATGTTGACCCCAGTGGCTTTTACCTTTTGGGGGGACAGACAATTTGGGTGATCATCACCAGAGAGATAATCTGAGAGGGGGCAATCTGGCTCACAGCATCTCATCCAAATTTTTCTGTTCCTGGGGTTTGGATGTATTGGTACTTCAGATAATAACAAGAATAAAATCATAAACCTCAGGGTGAACTTTCTTCCTAAGCTTGGCTGTCACCAGAGGTTTCCTGCCATAGATCCAAGTTTCATCTACCCAAAGAGTCACTTGCCCCTTCCTTATGTGGAAGTAGGCGTTAATAAGCCACACCTGCCAGACTGAGTCACCTCAGCAGGAATCAGCCAGGATCCCCCTTCTGGGTCCCAACCCTGACTGACAGGAAGCACTCTACGTTTGTTGTAGGAGATGATATTATTCCTAAATATGCATTTTTCTGTGTGTCTTTCTCTGCTAAGAATGAGGGGCTGATCTATGCTGAAAGATGGAAAGAGATTTTTATATACAAATGTTCACGTCAAAACAGGAATTTTCACAAGAATTTGCAAATTTGAAGGGCTAATGTTTGTCACTGAATCTGAGTTTTCTTGCCATAACTGGTGACATTGCACTCTGTAACAAATCTCAGATTTCTTTATATTTGTCTCAAGGCAACAGTTACCGTTTTCACACACCTTTTTTTGCCCTCAAAAATATCACCTTTTGTTTCTTCAGAAAACACAAAGTAATAAATAAATTGAAGGCTAACTCTCTTGCTTCTCATAAATTTGGCAACTTTTAATGTAATTTTACTTTGGTGCATAGGTGCTGGAACAATTTGTATAGTGTGGGTGCTGAAAGCCATTGAACAAAACTGTAACCCCTAAATATAATGGAAACCACTTCAAGCCAGGGAGTGCTGCCACACCTCTAGCACCCCTACTTCCAGAACCTGTGCTTTAGTGTCGATTTTTTCATACTGCTGTACTTGGCAATTCCATTGTCTCTGACCTCTTTTGTGCTGAAAAAGACACTGGCACAAAGTAACCAAGCAAAGGGAAAGAGCAGAGAGGAACAGCTGGACGAGTGCAGCTGCTGGGGGAGGTGAATGTCTCCTGAACGTGTGTATAGAGAATCAGACTGCAATTGTGTATAGAGAATCAGACTGAGAATGAGGATTCTTTTGGCATCATCACATCATATGTCACATGGATGTTTTCCTCCCCAGTGGACATACAATGATTAATGTTAGTTTTGTTTTGCAGATCAGTTTGTTTCCATGGTTCATTTGCATGTGGCTAAGAGAATATGAAGTGTAGAGGTGTGCATGTAGTATATGAAATCCTATAGGACTTTTCCTTACACTGTTGCTATTGAGTTCCTGCTTTTCACTAGATTGCTTTATTAAAAAAACAGAAAACACGTCATTAAGCTATAGTGAAGATCTCGAGAGAGCTGCCTGTTGCAGCCTATTTGCTAAGGTGAATTTCTTCAGCATTACATCCCTTTTCAAACCTCAGCTTCTCACTCAGGACCAGACTCTGCCTTTCAGACCAAGGTATGTGTGGAGGCAGTGCAGAGGCTTATCACTCGAATGAGCCTCTCTTAAGCCATGGTCATGCTTTGTCTCTGAGAGGATTGCATCACAGGGGCACTAACAAGAGGCAGTCCCTATGCTCAGGAGAGTGCATGAATGGCAACCGTGGCTGATCTCTGCGCTGGAGACAGGGAGGCAAGGTTGAGGAAAGACTATTTATGCTTTCTCCACTTTGCACACCTGCGCAACAGCCAACTACAGTCTGGCTCTTGGTGTTTTAGGGATGAAGTCAGTCCTCTATTGAGAGACATGCAGGAAGCAGAGTAGAGTTTTGTCAACCATGTGTGGGTACCCAACGGCATTTTGCTAGCACAGGGAAGGATCTTTCAGGGCAGTGCACAAGAGGCTTACCCCTTAGTTTTCCTTTAAAGAAGCCACTTGCCTAATGCCTGCTGCTGGGATAAGGTGGGAAAGGAGCTGACAAGGTCTGCCTTGTCAGTGGTAGGAAGCTGTTGTCAAACCTAGGCTTCTTTGAGTGCTAGATTACAATGCTTGCAATTCTCTAGTCCTTTTTTTTCAACTACCATAGCACCGTGCAATAGTTTGCCTTTCATTTATATGTAGATGTTGCAGCTTGTTTCAATTATTGAAGTCAGTGGGAGCTTGAGAATATGTATCCAAGGTCAAATTTGATCCCTCAGTCATTTAAGCCTCTTATTTCACTATTTAACTTTCTGGTGAGTTAGTAAGAATTCTAAATGTGCTTTGCTTCTGATCTGTCTGAAAGACAGCGTGGTTTGATTTATGGAGTAATCCCAGATATTTTCACTCACATGGGCAGTTACCCAAGTTTCTGGTTTAGGTTCTTTTTTGTTGTTTTAAATATATTGCATCTTTTTTAGAGCATTTGTCTGTATTCAGATGACATCCTGGTTCTTTTATAAGACAGGTTGTAGCCAGTCTGCAATTTGATTTTAACAATATTCAGAGATGTGTTATGGATAATGGTTTAATTTTGAGTAGAATGTAAACTGTTTTAATGTTGTTCAGATCTTGTCCCAGATTGCCTGCACACTGTGCTGTTAAATACTGTGGTTTGATAATTTTGTCTTGATTCTTTTGATTCTCCTTTAATACCTTTAGAATATATTTTGGAAAAGTTGTAAAGGATGGCAGATGACACTGGTATTTTTTTCTGTGTCATAGAAAGGAAGTTTTCAAGTTTTATCAGTTTAGGACTTAGCCATTTATTTCACTGTATTTGAAACCTGCCTTTAAAAATTCATGCTACAGTATTTCTGGCCCTTTCATAGAATCATAGAATATCAGGGTTGGAAGGGACCTCAGGAGCTCAACTAGTCCAACCCCCTGCTCAAAGCAGGACCATTCCCAATCAAATCATCCCAGCCAGGGCTTTGTCAAGCCTGACCTTAAAAACTTCTAAGGAAGGGGATTCCACCACCTCCCTAGGTAACCCATTCCAGTGTTTCACCACCCTCCTAGTGAAAAAGTTTTTCCTAATATCCAACCTAAATCTCCCCCACTGCAACTTGAGACCATTACTCCTTGTTCTCTCATCTGCTACCACTGAGAACAGTCTAGAACCATCCTCTTTGGAACCCCCTTTCAGGTAGTTGAAAGCAGCTATCAAATCCCCCCTCATTCTTCTCTTCCGCAGACTAAACATCCCCAGTTCCCTCAGCCTCTCCTCATAAGTCATGTGTTCCAGTCCCCTAATCATTTTTGTTGCCCTCCGCTGGACTCTTTCCAATTTTTCCACATCCTTCTTGTAGTGTGGGGCCCAAAACTGGACACAGTACTCCAGATGAGGCCTCACCAGTGTCGAATAGAGGGGAACGATCACGTCCCTCGATCTGCTGGCAATGCCCCTACTTATACATCCCAAAATGCCATTGGCCTTCTTGGTAACAAGGGCACACTGTTGACTCATATCCAGCTTCTCGTCCACTGTCACCCCTAGGTCCTTTTCTGCAGAACTGCTGCCGAGCCATTCGGTCCCTAGTCTGTAGCGGTGCATTGGATTCTTCCATCCTAAGTGCAGGACTCTGCACTTGTCCTTGTTGAACCTCATCAGATTTCTTTTGGCCCAATCCTCCAATTTGTCTAGGTCCCTCTGTATCCTATCCCTACCCTCCAGTGTATCTACCTCTCCTCCCAGTTTAGTGTCATCTGCAAACTTGCTGAGGGTGCAATCCACACCATCCTCCAGATCATTTATGAAGATATTGAACAAAACCGGCCCCAGGACCGACCCTTGGGGCACTCCACTTGATACCGGCTGCCAACTAGACATGGAGCCATTGATCACTACCCGTTGAGCCCGACAATCTAGCCATCTTTCTATCCACCTTTATAGTCCATTCATCCAGCACATACTTCTTTAACTTGCTGGCAAGAATACTGTGGGAGACCGTATCAAAAGCTTTGCTAAAGTCAAGGAACAACACGTCCACTGCTTTCCCTTCATCCACAGAGCCAGTTATCTCATCATAGTAGGCAATTATATTAGTCAAGCATGACTTGCCCTTGATGAATCCATGCTGACTGTTCCTGATCACTTTCCTCTCCTCTAAGTGCTTCAGAATTGATTCCCTGAGGACCTGCTCCATGATTTTTCCAGGGACTGAGGTGAGGCTGACTGGCCTGTAGTTCCCAGGATCCTCCTTCTTCCCTTTTTTAAAGATGTGTACTACATTAGCCTTTTTCCAGTCATCTGGGACTTCCCCCGATCACCATGAGTTTTCAAAGATAATGGCCAATGGCTCTGCAATCACATCTGCCAACTCCTTTAGCACTCTCAGATGCAACGCATCCGGCCCCATGGACTTGTGCACGTCCAGCTTTTCTAAATAGTCCCGAACCACTTCTTTCTCCACAGAGGGCTGGTGGAGATTTGTGTTAGGAGATTTGTACAGATTTGTGTTAGGAAGCCCAGTGAACAAATGCGGATACCATAGTACAACATCCAAACACAGTGGCTGGATTCTCATTTCATCAGTTAGGTGCTGATGTAAATGGCCTTTTGTGTGCCTATATGCCAAATGTGGGATTTTGACACCCTGTTAAGGCCCGGGGGTGAAATCAAAGTCAAAGGAAATTTTACCACTGTCTTCAGTAAGGCCAGGATTTCACCTTGTCTTTGAAAATTGGAACCACAGACACTTTTTAATATGTATCATTGTATTTCATAAGACATGTTGGATGGCTTTTTTGGTTAGCAGAATATCTATAACCGTATATTTAACTTTTGTATGTATTTATATATCTACAGTCATCGCTAATATTTAGAATCAGATTAAATATGAACAATTGTTTCAAGATTCCTGAGCTTAATTTAGGTTTGGAGCATCATCATTTATCTGAAATTAGGCTGCAGAGTTTTGGGACTCTCTTCCATTGCTTAACAAGATTGGCAACATCAAAGAAGTATTTATACTTGTGCAGTCCAAGCGGCAGAAAGTTGTATTGGAATGCTCTTAATATCAGCCTACTGCATGATTGCTGTAGGCCAGAGAAAGTGCAATTATAACAAGACTTGGAACTCATGTAGCCCTTTTCATTCATTGATATCAAAATGCCATACAGTGGTGAGTAAATAGCACTATTCCTGTTTAATCATTGGGTAAATTGAGGTGCGGAGAAGTTAAGTGATTTGCCCAAGGTCACACAGTAGGTCAGTGACAAAGCTGAGAACAGAACTTAGCTCTGCGGACTCCCAGGCCTAGGCCTGAGCAAGTGCACCTCGCTGCTTTGCTTAGATTGTGGCATCACTGCTCCTACCCAAAGATGTCCTTTGTTTCATTTAATTCAGAAGGTCACACTTTAAATATTTTAAATAAAAAAACCCCACTTTTTTGTGATATACTAAATAATATGTTAAGTTATTACATAAAAACAAAAGCCATGATGATGAGGGGCTTTACAATGGTTCTTTATAGACCATTAAAAATGATCAATCCCTCCTCCAAAGAGAAAAAAAATTGTATGTGGGCAAATTCATATTTTAGGATGGTAACGTTTAAAGTGTTAGAATTAGAAATGGGCTTTCCCTCCAAAATTTAGACTAGGATCCTGGTTTCAAACACTCCAAGTTTGTAATGTAGGGTCAGCCCATTTTAAAAATAGAGGGTTTTTTTAAAAAGAAAATTCTGCTCTGGAGCTGTGTTTGAATTTTTGACACTCTCACATTTTAGATCCAATGTTTTGGTTTAAGCCTGTCCCTATAAGCATATCTAAAATGTAATTTGACTGATACTGTATCAAAATGAATAAACAGTTCAGTGATTCAGAATATTAAAAAAAAATGATACTCTGTGTTGGGATAATCATTTCTCATAGAAGGCCATCTGTTACAACAGACCTAAATCAATCTTAAAATGCCAAGATATGGATGCTATATCTTTTTTTTTACTAATACAGTGTGATTTTTATTTTATTTATTTATTTTTTAGGTGTAAAGGCTGGTTTAAAGCGGACATACTCTGCTATTACTCAGGAACAGCTGGAAGTGAGCAATATGCCACAGTGGAAACCATTGTTATATGCTGTGGCATTTCTACATACAACTGTTCAGGTTATTAATTAACTGTCTTACAATTACACTAAAAAAACGTATTTCATAAATGATAATATAATTAAGAACTTGAAAGCTGTGTTAAATATAAATAATGTGGTGGGCAAAATTGAACATGTAAAATGAGAACAGCCAAAAGATGTCACCCATACCCTAAACTGAAACATACCCCCAGTACTGAACTTACCTGCCCACACTGATCATATCCCTCCACCAGGAGACACCTGAGAGGAAAATAGATAATATACACCTTCACCCTCCATGAAAGATCTTTTCAGGAATTAATCAGGTGGCTGTCATTGAACTTTTTAAGAACAATTATGAAAATATTTCTATCCAGTCATTTGTAATACCTGCTCCTTTGCCTCTCCCTGTGGATTATATTAAAAAAATAAGATTTCAGTTAATTAATTCTGGGGCTGATTTTGTTCTCACACTAGTGTAAATCAAGAATAGTTTTATTGAAGTCAGTGGAGTAAACACAGTTAGAATCAAGCTCAGTGTCCCTTTAATTTCTATTGATGGTTAGTGGATTATTGCATTTTGAAGTGAGCTGTAGCTCACGAAAGCTTATGCTCTAATAAATTTGTTAGTCTCTAAGGTGCCACAGGTACTCCTTTTCTTTTTGCAAATACAGACTAACACGGCTGCTACTCTGAAACCTGCATTTTTAGTATATTTCACAAATTCTTTTACACGTAGAATTTCTGTTACTAAACTTCACCCTTTTAAACATCTCCCTCCATTAGGAAAGACGAAAGTTTGGTCCGTTGGGCTGGAACATCCCTTATGAATTTAACCAAGCAGACTTTGCAGCCAGTGTGCAGTTTATTCAGAATCATTTGGATGCGGTTGACATTAAGCGTGGGGTGAACTGGAGCTGTGTTCGCTATATGCTTGGAGAAGTACAGTATGGTGGCCGTGTAACAGACGACCTTGACAAAATGTTGCTAAATACATTTGCTAGAGTGTGGTTTGGAGAGAGTATGTTTACTGACAAATTTTGCTTCTACAAAGCTTACATTATTCCAAAAGGCAAGACAGTTGAAGACTATCTCCAGCACATAGAGCAGCTGCCAATGGTCGATACACCTGAGGTAAAAATGTTTTAAGTTTTAAAGCATTAAGAGAGTTATACTAATTAAAGTGCTAGACTTTTCTAATCATCCATATATGGAACAGGGCAGAGCTCAGACAACAGACATTATGAAAATGAAAACAATTGTTCTCACTTAACAAGCCAGTGTTATCATCTGGGCCTGTTCCATTTTGAGAACAGGAAGTTGTTAGTTGAAGTTGAAATAAAAATGGATGCTCTTGACTTCTGTATCACTGTTATTAACTGTTCATAATGCATATACTATGAGGTTTACAAATGCCTCTGAAGATAACATGTATTGGAATTAAAATGCACCGAATATACAGACTTGTTTCTGAGACTATTTAATCCACCACCACCACGTGCTAGGTAATAATGTGAAAGGACTCCGTACTTGTAAAATTAAACTGTCTCTTTATTAAGAGAACTGTTTGCAGAGATCCTGATTGGTTTCCTGCTGCCTCCTCCAAACTCTTTCCTCCTGCAACCTGGGCTCCTCCCTCCAAGTTGCATGCAGGTTGCTGCAGGGATTGATCCATGAATGCCTTGTCTGCACTGGTGTTTTTTTATGCTAGTGTAGCTGCGCTGAGATAGCTACACTGGTGCAAATCTCTAGTGTAATTGTACTGTACCACTGTAAAAGGTGACTTGCACCAGTGTGGCTTTCTCTGGTTGGATAATGAGGTAAAATTAGTGTAGGCACAGTGCAACGTGACTACCGTAATGGCTCAGACCAGTGCAGTTTGTCCTGTGCAAAAAGCCCATTGTAGGCAAAGCCTGAATTTTACTTTGTAGTGGTATAATCCAGAATTGAAGGTTCCTCTTCTAATTCCAAGAAAGGAAACCACAGAGGTACTTCCAAACATACAGAATGGACTATCGGGATTCTGCAAAAGAGCTGCAAAAATAGATGACATCATCTGAGTTCTTGATGGGAGAGAAGCAACTGTGGAAAAGCGCTGGATAAAATATCTCTCTAAAGATACTTGGTCAGATCCCCTAGCTCCATTGATTTTGGGTGAGATTCTGACCCACCATCTGTCCAGGATTCTCATTTCTGGGTCTTAGCTTCTTAATGCAACTCCCTTAGCTATTAAGGTTTTGGAGCCTTAAGGCAGCAATAGCGGGGTAAGTGCAAGCCAGACTCCCTACTGGCTGATGTGCACCTTCCCCAGCTGAGTGTAAATGCTGCTCTCCCAACATTCCAGTGGATCCATTTTGATCATAGTCAGTGAAGCAGGTCACCACAGGAACTGCATCCCGTCTGCTTCAGCTGTTTCCCAGATCTCAGTTCTGGCTCCTGCACCTGCTTTTCGTCAGTGTTTTAAAGCCTGCTTCAGAATTTGGGGGCTTATTTTCTCAGTATTTTGTTGCCTGCCAATCCAGATTTGTGGGTTTTTTTTTTATATACGGGAGTTCTGCCTTTCACTTCAATGGTGTAGGATTGAACCCTGAATATGCAAAGATCTCTTTCTCCTACAAAAGACTGACCCAGATTCTCACAGGTCATGAGGAAAGTGACAACTTCCTTCTGTCACTCCAAGCTCCTTCTGAATTGCTGTTGGAAACCTCTGACCTTTTAAGCTCAGTCTTCTCTGGTCCAAGAAGGATATTGTATTAGTCAAGACAGTATAATTTTTGTTTCCTCCTATCTCCATTTTTGGTTAAGAAAGACAGATTGAATAAATCTGACTGCTGTATCATTGCTCCTTTGATGAAATTCAACCTTCGCATTAGTAAATCAGAATAAACACTGTCTTCTGAAGAGAGCTATTGAATTCAGAAATCCCTTTGAAATGCACTTAGATTTTAGACAGGAGGGTGTGGAGTGTTTACGGCCGGATTTGAAACTCAATAGTCAGTTGAAAAACTAAGGGGTACAGTTCTGGATTCCTTATGCATCCAAAACACCCTTTAAATTGAGTTTCTAGATTAGTGTCCAGAAGGATTAAGGACACTGAACTGCCCCAGGATAATACGATTTTTCTGTTTTTTCTTTATTCTCCCATGCATGCACAAAGATGCACACAAGACCAAATTCATCCCTGGAGTAACTTCACTAACTTCAATGAAGTTACTCCAGGGATAAATCTAGCCCTCAGTTTAGGACTATAATTTATATACACAAAGGAAGACATTTTCTCTTGTTTTGAACTAAGACAGAGGCATTGCTACAACTTCACTCTAGCAAAAATGAAGCTTTTCTGTTTTTAAAATGATAAAGATGATATGGTTCCTGCCAGCCATATCCTAATTCCTTTGCCCAGAGAAAATCTCACTCTCTTCAACAAAAGAGATCAAAAAATCATGAACATCTTTAATCTCCAAATGCTTTATTGTATTCCATGATAGTCAATACAGATGTAATACTGTGCATTGACTCTTTCACATATTTCTAAATACGCAGGTTGTATTAACTTTACAAGTTCTATCTGTGAAATATGTTTTAAATCCTACTTGGAGCCTAATTCAATGGGAATTGTGTGCACACACTGTGTCTGCAAGTAGAACTGGATCTATGACAATAACACTTTCAGGGCCAGATTCCCAGGTGGTTTAAACTGGTGCAGCTCCATTTACTTTGATGCACTTACACCAGCTGAAGATCTGACTCTGAATTTTTAAAGTTGCAAGCATAACAATATTAAATTTAATCGATTTATGCCTTTTATTCTTAGAGTAATTTTACTGATAATTAAAAGTATCTTGTGTATATGAAATGAGCTGATGTCCACAGTCCAGTTCCTGATGGACAAGAATCACCATCCAAATGGACAGTTAAAGACTTACTGATAGTCTCAGCAGAGAATACAAAGATTGAATAAGCATGAAGTCTGAACTGTTGTTATCTTCTATGGTTGCTGTTTTTAGGTCAGGACTGAAGCAGGGGAGGGCATAGGTCACTGCTCATGTTATACCTCTTTCAGACTAAATAAAAGAATCAAGTCTTCACAGCCAGGGGAAAAAGACTTAAAACCAGAAAGACATAACACATCCAGAATATATCTCTGTTCATAACATCTGTATGGGTGCTCTTAAATATATATACAGCTTGGGTTTTGTTTTTTATTGTCCATGTTTTAGAACCTAATCCACCAGTACCACTCCTAACAAATAAATTAGAGAAAAGAGAAAATTAAAAAGAAAGACAACTTGGGGGTGGGGAGTCAGAAAATGGAAAATGATGGAAAAGTAATGATAAAGGAAACATCATAATTACTAATATTTATGACTTGTACAATACCATACATGTGCATATCTTTCACATGACTAAGATACTGAAGTAGTCAGTACTGTAGTCACTAGTAACTTTTCTGTTAAAATTAATAGGTCACGGAAAGCATTTTCTGAAACAAATGGATAAGTTGATTTGGCTGGTTTTAGGGGGTGCATATTCATTCACAGCTTATGTTAGAGTTTTTTTATAACTTGATCCAGATGCTTAGCTAGTTTAGATCAGTGTAACCCCATTGACCTTAATGAGGCTATGCTGATTTATACTATCTAAGGATCTGCTCCCTTGTCTTTTTCTTTTGTGTAGACTATTAACTGATATATATTTTAAAAAATCAATATAGTGTATTAACAAGAGCACTCTATTTTTTTTAGACATAATTCTTCATTTTTTTCTTATTGTGTCCTTTTTTTATCTTAAGGTATTTGGACTTCACCCTAATGCAGACATAACTTATCAGACTAATATGGCTAATGAGACATTAAGCACAATAGTTAGCATTCAGCCTAAAGACAGTAGCAGTGGAGGAGGGGAAACCAGAGAAGCAATGGTACAGCGTCTTGCTGATGAGATGCTGGAGAAGTTGCCATCAGACTACATCCCTCATGAGGTACAAATATATACAGCAAGACACTGCTGCATAGATACATATGAATTATTATATATGCCATTCATGTGGAAACACTTCTCTGTGCAACTTTTAAGGTATTTTAATTAATGAAATAACTCACACTTTATTAAAGGTATAAGTGTTCTGGTTTATTATCTAAAGTGTATATACATCAAAAAGTTACATATGAAGAAATAATGGTTAGTTACATAGTATTTAAACACTAACATGACATGCTGTCTGGAAGTGGTGGTGAGTCTTGCATTAGTGTTTGAATAAAAGAAAGTGGATATTATTGTTATTTTATTTTATTACATTAACATTTGTCAAAGGTGCGGATGGCTCCTTAGGCGGCAAGCAAAAGCAGGATCTCATACCAAATATGCTTGCCAGAGTTTCAGGTGACTAATGGTGACATAAATGCAGGGTAGAGCTCTGCAGAGCTTTAATAATCTAGATGAGTTTTAAATTATCGAGGAAGTGGATGTGGTATGAGTGGAGAGACATGAAAAGAGCTGGAGCAGCAAGCAAGGAAGAAGAGCTTGGAGATAACAGTTTGGATAGTCTGTAAAGAAGGGAAATATGTTTCAGGAAAATCAGCGAGAGATTGTGTTGGTTAAGGCATGGCCAAGAACTCTGGCAGGGGAAATAGACAGGAAGGGACAGATTCTAGACATGCTGTGAATGAAGCAGCAACAGAGTTTAGCAACAACTGAATATATTGGTATTTCTTCCTACTCACTGGATACTTGGTTGTGTTACCAGATTCCCAAAGACTCCCACTTTTCAGGACAGAAGAAGACAAACATCTAATTGAGTAATAAAATGAAAGTAGAAACCGCAAACTATGGATGAGCTATGGCAGAATGTTCACCTCTGGTATAATCTGAAAGCTTAGAACAAAGCAAGAGTCTCTGATAGAGCCCCTGTCTTCTTCCTTATCCATCTGGGGCAGCTACTTGATCTGAGCTCACTGACTATCAGAACAAACTGACCCATTTTCCCCATGGTGTATGCCTCTTCATATATTGATGTTCTCCTGTAGCCCTTCAGATAAGTAGAACATCACTCATAAAAACAGAATTTAAAATATCTCCAAATAATACTGTGACACAACACCCCATATTCATCCCTTTAATATTAGTATGATATGATTATGGCATACTTATGGTGCATTTTGTACAAGATGCATCATGTAAGGTGTCATTGGAAAAGTTATGATTTGCTGAATATGATTATCCTGTTTGTATGCATGTATAATTTTTGTATCTAAAATTATGAATATTGACTATGTATCTATATTTCAAATGTAGTTACACCTGGGTGATGCCCACTGGGCAAGAAGCTTCCAGTCTAGATAGTTGGCTGTGAAGGGCCTACTCAGGGTAAAGGGCCATTAGGAAAAACAATAGGCCTTAGGAGAAGCTTATCCCCTACCTGGTGAGCCTTCCTGAGAACGCTTCAGACAGTCTGTAAGTAATGGCTGCTATGACTCAGCAGGGCATGCAAGGGCATGTGACCAGACCACATGACACTGATCTCCATTTTGGGTACTTGTATTTTTCCACAAACTGGCTGGGAACTGTTTTTAGAGCAAAGGGTTCCTGCCATATGTTAAAGCTATATAAGGCAGGGAATGACCTCATCTGTGGTTCTTCACTCCCCCACAACTCAACACCTAAGAGAAGCTCGAAAGGAAAAGGACTTGGAACGGGGGTGGGGAGCCCGAGCTGTAAAGCGAGTGCAGCTAGTGCCTTGAGAATCTGCAAGCTTGCTTGTATCATCAGTCAGGGTGAGAAATTGCTAATTCATATCCAATCTTTCTAGTAGTTTAGGCTTAGTTTGTGGTTTTGTTTAAACATAAAACACATTCTTCATGTTGCAGGGGTAGACATATTAATGAGCTTACAGTGTACAGATCTCTGTGCAGTGCAGGATGGTATAATTTTGGTTTTATACTCCAGAGTGGGGTGCATGCCTGCGGAGCTGGAAAACTGGCTGGTGTCTACTGTTTGCAATCAGGTAGCCCAGTTTGGGTGGATGTCACCACCTGCTGTTGTGTTGGGGGATAACAGGGCCTGGGTTGAGGCTGGATGTGTCCCCAACCTAGCTGTGTGTCTTAGAAGGATGCTGCAGTTCCCACAGCTCCCAGACTGCACCCCAAGGGTGACAACCTGTCACAAAAACAACTTTAAACACTTAATGAGATTACATCAAAACAAGTGACAAACAATTGAAACTGTCCTGCACATTGTAAGATCCCCTTTAGTTTTCCCATTTCACATACAGAAGAAACCGGAGAGCTCTGTTGCTTCCAAGCCTCCTCGCTCAGGGGCTTACATAACAGATAACAAAGAGTTCTTCTTCAAGGAGTGTCCCTGTGGGTGCTCCACTTTTGGTGTCTTGGTGCCCTTGTAATCGGAGATTTGTAGTAGCAGTGCCCTGATTGGCTGTGCATGCGCAGCAGCCATCTCGCACCACTCCAAGCAGGTACCTAGCATGAGCAGCCAACCGACCCCCAGTTCCTTTTTACCGCCCTTGGCTTGAGTCAGAGCGACAGCAGCACCCCTTCAACTCCATAGATAGATCATGGTCCTTCCTTTTTTCTTGTATCCTCTCAATTCTAGTTAACTTCAGGTAACATTACTTTTAATTTCCTCCATATTAAAAAAAATTAGTGTAGTTTTCCCCCACTCGCCACCCGGCGGGCCTCCACCAACAATGACTGCTTTAAAATGGGCTACCCCGTTTTTCTCCAGTGCTGGACCTCCCTCAGGCATGCCTGGTTCTCCTGCATTTAACAATGCCTGACCTGCAGGTTATTGATACCAGTTTCAGATGGCCGTGCTCAGTGCATCTGCTGTCTCGAAGAGACCCAATTCCCCAAAAGTGTCCTCATTGTAAAAAACTGAATGCCAGGGACCTCCAACTTAAGTCACTCATGATGAAGAAATCCCTCAGGCCAGCCTCCGACCCAGAGACCAGGACGCCTCTTGACCAACGGTCGCCAGCAGCCTCAGACAAGGGCTGCACTACCAAGACTGCTTCTAAGGACTCTGTCTCTAAAAAGGTGACCAAACACCAGTCTCAGTCATCGCCACAGCGAGATCTGCCTAAAAAGAAATGGTGTCCTGGTGAAAAATCTTCCCCGGTACTGAGGGCACCAAGAGCCCCGGTACCAAGACTTCCCGAGGAGCCAAGGACTGGTATGGGCAGGCTCTCAGTCAGGTGCATAATCTAAAGTCAAGCTCCCTAGCTCAGCACCGACCGTGCCGAAGAACATCCCAACACTGACCAGTGTAATGGCACCACCTGCTGCACACACGCAGCTCAGTAAGACCTTGGCACTGATAGTTCTGACCCTTTCCTCTCAGACTGCGCTGCCATTCCTGGCACCGAGCTTTCTGGTACCGCAACTTTTCACCAGACAGGCGTACCTGGCAGTTTCTTCTATGCCAGGGATCCCCCTATTCGGTACCGATGGTAGCCCAGTGAGGCGCGGACTAAGTCAGATCATTGCCCCTGGGGTTTCAGCTCCACCTCAATCCAGTGATGATGAGGAGGAGGTTGACTCAGGACTGTACACCCCTGGCCACTCCTCTCCTAAAGCTGGACCCTCATATCACCAGTAACTGGTAGACACGCGAGCCTGTCAACCCCCATCCTGGCTGCCACCTCCTATGGCACTCCCACCCAACTGGCCATACTGGGACCCAGGGGCCATTTATAGGGCCCAGAACATTAGAGCACCTAACCCACTGGTCACCAAAACACCCCGCTCTCCCGCACCAACGGACCCAGCACCTTCAGAGGCCCAGGATGAGGAGACTGACGAGCAGGCAGACGCACCTGAAGGAGACACCTTGCCACCTACACATATCTCATCCAGATGAAACAATCATGCCACCACCCTCCGCATCGGGGGATGACTTCAAGTCCTTTCAGGATCTTTTCAAGAGGGCAGCAGACTCCCTCAACGTCGCCTTGTCTGAGATCCCTGAGACCCAACATAAGCTCACTGACATTCTCCAGGCATGCCCATCAGCAAAAATAGAACTGCTTATTAACATTGCCATAATGGACCTTGCAAAAACCATCTGGCAGATGCCAGCCATGGCCCCTCCTTTCTGCAAAAGGTCGGACAAAAAATATTATGTGCCGGCAAAAGGGCCTGAATTTCTCTTCACCCACCCCACTCCTAATTCACTGGTCATGGAGGCAGTAAATCAGAGGGGCAAATGGCAACCATCTAGATCCACCCCTTATGTCAAGGACAGGAAGAGGCTATACCTCTTTGGCCACAAAACCTATTTTTCCGCCACCTTGCAATTCCGCATCACTAATTAATCTGCACTGCTTGCAGAATACACACACAAAACTGTTTTCTACAATGTCATCTTCTATTGAAAATCTTTTATTGAAAATATAAGAGGACAAGAGAAGCGTGTAAGTCCAACATCTCCGAAGGGTCTCTCATCACAAAGACTGCCCTCCACGCCTCTCTCAATTCCGCAGACACAGCAGCATGCTCCATTGCGACCTCCATGGTCATGTGTCAGGCATCTTGGCTCCACCGCTCAGGATTCCTGAGAGAGGTACAAGCTGCGGTTGAGGACCTACCCTTTGAAGGTCAGAAACTGTTTGCCAAATCCACCAATGCGTACTTGCGCATACTTTAAAGGATTCCCAGGCCACCTTAAAGACTCTCAGCATCTGTGTCCCTGGAAACATGAAAAATCAGGGCAGGTTTTATAACCAGAAATTCCAGGCTACACCATGCTCCCAGCCTCAAAGACACCATACCCAACGCCTAAACAGAGGCAGACGGGACAAAGGCAGAATCAAGACCAGCCTTCCACATCCCAGCCTTCCACTTCTAAGCCATCATTTTGAAGGTCTGTTCAAGGGCCTGAAACCTCTACAATCTCTAATTCCGGATCTCAACCCCACTTCAACACCGTTTGGGGACCCCTGGTACCATATTACCCAGTCTGGAACAA